AGCCACAACATTGTGCCTGGCTTAACCACGTCGAAGTCAAGATAAGTAATATTATTAGATGCAGAGAGTTCTAATCGACTTGTTTGCCTTCCTCCCGATTGCGCTTGAAGGACACGGAATGGATGAGTAGCGGCGGCAGATTGCCACGCAGCATTTGGAGGCGTTTGCTCTTGGGCTGCTCAAGCCGGCGCAGCTCGCCCTTGGAGGAGGATGTCGAGCCCACTGATGCCGAGATGGAGGCCAGCGACGTACTGCTGGGCAGAATTTCGGTGCTTTGAGCTAGGGGCATATTAGAGCGTCGGAAGTAACGCGGCATGGAGTAATCATCCTGTAAGGCACGAGCCGCATTTGCATTCTGTATGGAGTAGAGACTCTGCGATACGCGATACTTTTCTATGGTCGGCGTGTCCTCGTAGTTCTTCGGCAGATTGCTGAAGGATATGGAGGGCACCTCCGGCGTCATGCTGATCTGGCTGCCAGTACCCGTGATGGCGAATATGTCCGTATCACTGTCCGCCATAAACATGTGCGGTACGCTTTTGGCCGCGCGAAGCGTCCGCTTGGGCGTGGACGAGAGGCTGCTCGTGCTGGGCAACAGATGGGGACGGCGATCGATGAGATGCGGTCTCAAGATCACCTCGTCCATATCCTTCTCATCCTCCTTTTCTTCCTCGGCAATGGGCTCGAACTTTTTCGGCGCCAGTGACTGACTGCCCTCCGGCGAGGACTCCGACGGGGCCAATGTGAACGTGATCCGTTTCTCGGGCGATGGTGCTTCCTCGGCGCTTGGCTCGGCCTTTGTGGAGTCGGTGGCATCGGCCTGTAGACCAGCTGTAGTAAAATAAATTATGCAGAATATTAGTTGAAAATATTAATTTTAAATTACACAATATTATTCTTTTAATATTTCAATGAACCTGACCTCCAGCTCGAGTAGTATAAATTAGGAATATCTTATATGCAGCTAATTAATTATTATTTTGCTTAGTTTACTTATATTTTCAAATACATTTTCATAATTATTGTTGACAATGAAAAATATTTAAAATAAATTTTTTTTAAAAGAAAAATCTTAACAATTTTCAATGCAATTTTTAAATAAAATTTGTTGCTAAATAATCATATTAATATTAAATTATATTAATATTACAAGCAAATGCATCCAAGGTATCTTTCAGTCAGGCAAAGCCAACTGAGCAACGTTTATTTACACATGTTACAGATATTCATAAAGTAGAAAATGAGCTGATAATACCAGAAATTAAAGCTATTAAAAATGTTGCAGTTGGGCGACATCGACTGCATAATACTTGTTCAGTAAACAAAATACAGTTGAATAATTTCCTGGATTGCTCAAATTTCTAGAGTGTAGCTTTTCTGTTATACCAGATGTAGTGTTTTCCGATATACCACGCCCTTAATAGGCGTCACAGCAGATGATGTCTTGAATTTCAAGTGAAATCGAAACCCGAACAAACCCAATATACCCTTTCTCGAATAATTGTAAAACTCTACTAATTATATTACGCTGACAAATAATTTATGAAGCCATCTAATATATTCCAACTTAAGCCATTGATTAGAGTAGATCATTAAAAGCTTATTCATGTGTCATAATTGCATAATTGCATTATTGAAATAGCTGACAATAATTTTCTTATCGACTGAAACTTTCTCGTTTTTCTGAAGCACGTTAATTAGTAGAATAAATCAGAGAATTAGCGCTTACTGGTATATTATTAAATTTCCAAATTATGTGGTAAAATAAAAATAATTAAGTATTCAATACATTTACAGCGTGCTAAAAGCTTTAAGCTTATTGATTTAAGCCATTATTGAGAATGACAAACATTTAATTGAAGTTAGTATATTCTTGGTTGCAAAACAGCTGGATAATGACTGGCAGACATAAGTTAGGATCTACTGCAAATCGATTTCAAAGAGCTTTGAAGAATTTAAATGCTCATTGAATGAGTCTTCCATTAAAACAGACTCTAAGAGCTCTGAAAAAATATATACATAAAAATTAAGAGTATCAAACTACTCTTATGCTTTCATTATCTATCAAATGTGGAAATCAGAGAAATATTTAAAATATGATTCTCCAAATGAAAGGAGATTTAACTTTTGATTTAGTAATGAGAAACATCTCAAAATCTATTGAGAAGTTTTTATATAATTGCAACAAATGTCATCAGAAATTAAATAATCAGGAAAAACCTGATTTTTTTTTTTTTTTTTTTTTTTTGTATATTCAGAAACAAATATTATATTTATAGGTATAAACATATAATATATGTATGCAGGCAGAAACAAGAGAAGAAAAGAATTCGTATCACCTTATCAGGGCACAAATTTGATTACTATGTAGTTATCAGTAGAGCAAACAAGGCAAGCGAGGGTGCCAGCGTCATGAGTGCCCCGTTAACAGATGCCCTATAGGCCATCTAAAATCTCGATATAATATAAAATATACAATATATGAATGTGTTTTATTTATAATAAAATGCAAATTTTAAAATGTTAAATATATATTTACTGCATAAGGAATTTGTTGTACTTGACGGCTTTATTTCTTGTGAATACTTTTAAATATTATGGAATAAAATATTCACTTCTTCTTTATCCATAAATTCGTTAACATTTCTTTCTCAAAGCCTGTTAAGCCCAATACTAACTATTATTTCAAAACAAATTCACTTGATGAAATCAAGTAACAAGTCAAAAATGCCACCTCTGTCATATATTGTATAAATCTTTATTATACCCATTATTACGCACTTTGAATGAGTACAGGGTAAACAATAAAAAATAAAAACAAAACAAAACTGATTTACGTCCTACACTTGTATAGAGTTGATAGGAACATTGCCGATTACGGAAAAAATTAACGTTATCTGTTAAGGTGCACTTTCGTAAGGTAACAGAAGAAATTCTATTCGCAATCTTAATGCCACCACTTCGACATAGTCATTCAATGGACTGGACTACCCAAATAGTATATGATCTATGTGCTCCAGGGCGAATTCTCATTATCCATGCATTCATCAAGTAATAAATCGTTTATGAAATCTGACTTATATATAACAAAGCCTCTGACTCAAGACCAGAAAAATTGCGTACCATTCAGATATCAATAATTCGTCACTTGGTTGCCCATATCACGAGAGAGCTTTCGAGCTCATAAAATAAAGTAATACATAATAAAAAGATTTCCGATGTGTTATAACGTATACGGAAAATTCAAAGCATATGATATTAATGTGACTCATTGGATTTTCTTAGCTTGATAATCAGATGATAATATATAGATGTAAGAATTCTGAATTGCTAACTCGAATTGTAGAGTTACTCAGAATTGCCCAACTTTTTCAATTAGCATCTGCTACGTTAAGAATTTCCAACTCAATTCCGAATATAATGTAATCAGAATTTGCATAATTAAATCTAAGCTATTGGAGATTCATAAAAGTCACGAGTTGAGTTTGTGTTTAGTTTTATGGTATTTGTGTTTCCATTTTCATTTTTCAGATTTTCATCAGCGTTGATTAACTTTAAACACATCAGCTAATCAGGTTCAATATATGTTATATATGTATATGCGTGTGTGTATGTTAACATTACAAGGTCTAACAAACGAAGAAACTTAAAAAGTAACAATACGTGTAAAAATAATACTACTAAATGCTAAACTGTTGGTAAATATTTTCATTGTCGACTTGTCGCTTCTCACTCTTTACTGGCTGGTTATCAATACTTATGGCTAATTAGTAATAATATTAGGTCACATTTTGTGGTGTAGGTACTAAACGAAAGTTCTTTTTGTCTGTGTAAGTGTGTATGTATGTAAGTATCTTTGGCACAAATACTGCTACTGCTACGGCCACAGTTTTGAATTCGTATGTTGTTTTTCTTTTCTTTCTGTTTTTGGCCCGCTGCTGGATACTCGCTCTACTCAACTCAAGTAGAACTTCACCTTGGGCGCACCGCCGGAGATGATGCTACTGCTGCGCGTGGTCTTACCACTAGTTTTGCCACTGGCGCTGCTACTAACAATTTGGGCGTGGCTGTGGCCATCATTACCTTCGAGACGTCGCAAGAGGCGCTCCTGTTCGCTGAGTCGCGGCGTGGTCGGCGCCTCTTTGTTGGGCGAATGGACGCCGGCCAAGAATGTCTTTGTGCTGATGCGATTTAGCTTGGTTGGCTGATGATCCTGGAAGATCTGCGAGTTGGCAAACACTGCCAATATCTCCGGTCCTAGCATCGGCACATTCGTTTGTGTCACGCGCCGATAATCCTCCTCATGAATTTTGGCGCTGTGCAAAAATACATCAATATTGAGTACAGATAATTGAAAGTTGTACAATACAACAGAAAAACTGCCAATGTGATTAACAAATATTAAATTCCCACTTTGCCCTGTGCCCAGTGCCCAGTGACAGCATTCAGCAGCCAAGCCAGATTCACAGGCAAATCAATCAAAGCTGATAAATTATTGCGCGGCGAGTTGACGCTTTGTTTGCTGTGTCAATTAGTACCTCATTAGGCCCAGTGGCTGGTCGCAAATGGGTTGTGGAACTGTCAATAGATGATTGTTGTCTTGCACCGTGGGCTGAACGCGTCCAATGATGGTGCCACGCTTCTGGGAGGCCAAATACTCCTCATCCTCTTCGGCATTATAGTTGGCTGTAAAGCAATATAGATAAATAATATTAAAATAACTTTGTTAACAGCAGCATTATCATTATCATTATCATCATCATTATCTTTTATCTCTTGCCAAGTTACAACTGAAATCATGTTTTATAAACTCAACAACATGCTGATTACTATCTAGTTATAATCATTTAGTCACCAATCCATTCAATTATTTTTATAATTAATATGATTTCAATCAAATTTATCAAGTGTTTTTGTTTCTATACTTTTTTTTTGCAAACGTTTAAATGCCAATCACGTCTTGCCTTGCCTCTCTCTATGTCTCTCTCCCTCTTACTCTCTTTAGCACACACTACTCAGTTGCTCTCTCTTCTTCTCCCTCTCCCTCTGACACTCAAGACTACATTGTCTACGTCGGTCGCATAACTTTACCGACTCAAATGCGAAATACACACGCACACCAGCCAAAAAGTATGTGTGTGTGGGTGCGTGTGTGTGCGTACATGTACATGGCAACACGTAGGTAAACATGCACCGGCTAGCCCTCAACTGTCCAACTAAAAAAAAGATGAGGCTTCCCATTGAGAGCGAATAGAGTGGTTAGTGAGCTGCAAAAACGAGCTACATAAATGCAAATTAAAACTTACCGATTGATTCATCATAGCAGAATCGCTCCTCAAAGCAGTTCCAGTAACAATCTTCCAGGCAGCTGAAAGGTGTTTGCGTACGAGGGGCAATGGAATTCAAATGTTGGCAGTAAGTGTATAAAGCGAAAATGAAATAAAATAAAATACAGAAAAAAAGTTAGGCTCCGCTTACTTCTGCAAACAGCGGCACATTTTGGAAAGCTCTGGAACAACTTGGGCGTAGAGCTAACTGTGTTTTATCCCGTTCCGGAATGCTTTCGTTTTGTTGTTAGTTACTTCTGATGTTGTTGTTGCTGTTGCTGCTGCTGAAATAGCGAAGAAAATTACATTGATGTTTCGTCGTGGAATGCGTGTGATTTATTGGCGCAGCGTGGAGCGTGGAAACAGCTTGGCGTTTTATCGGCAACTGATGTGCTTGTAGCCAAATGTATCTCGCCGATAGCATAATGGCGCTCTCAACAGCTAACAGCGAGCGCCATGGAGCGAGAGGGAGAGCGTCAGAGAGCGGAGTTTTCAGCTGTCGCACCTGTGTTCGTTAATCTGACTCAGACTCGGAGCGTTCGCTCAGCTCAGATCGCGATATAAATACAAGAGCTTTGATTACGTTTCGTCACCGCGCGCTCATTGCCGACGTGCCGACGGAAGCGCAACTCCGACTCGTGAGTTCGAGTTTTCGGGGAGAGCTTCGTGTTGATCGACTGAGCGCGTCAACGAGATTGCGAACGTGACCAAGAGAGAGCGCGCACGCGAGCGAAAGAAAGAGAGTGGAAGTGTGTGTGTGTATGTGCATGTGTAGACTTCACACCGCCATTCGTAGCTTACACGCGCAAGCACTCAATCGGGTACTCGTCTTGACGCAGTAAAAGCAATAACGTAAATGTGCTCTCTGTCACCGTCATTTCGCCCAATACGTTTGCACATATTAGTCGACTATTGAATATTCTGTACATACTTAAAGCTAACATATTTATTATTTTGTATGTCAACATACATATAACATACTTGTTTCAGATAATCAATAAGATATATATTATCGGAATTTCTTTTTCATTCAGGAAAAGTATTCAATTAAATTTTTATCCAATTCGTATTGCGAAAGGGTATATGAGTTGTAAGACATAAAAATTCAAAGCATTTTGCATGATAATTCTGGTTTTGCAATTATCAAAAACTGCCTTAAAATAAATATAATAATAATATAATATAATTTCAGTCAATTTTCTTATATACGTATATACTATATATAAAGATATAATTGTATAAATTCATTTCCTCTCGTTAAATGTATATTTATTTAATTTTATATGCATACAAAAATAAGTATGTGTATATGTACATATTTATACATATATGTGTGTACCCACTTATATCCCTGTATACTGTAGTACATGTAAAGCTGTGATATATTTAAGCATTTATTCTGTTTACTTAACAGTATAAACGATAAGCAGACAGGGTAAAGATTCTGTGAATTGGGCCACACATTCGTGCAGCACAGGTTGTAAAATTGTGAATGGCTCTAAAATTGGTCGATGGGGCTATTGAAAAACGGACAAAACATACTTTTAGGCAGCTATTGATCTGTGAACATTAAAACAATCTATAAATATCATTCATTATATGCACAACAACTTAATGGTATAATGGATGATAATCAAATTAACAAAAGTCACAAAAAACAATACGTTGTTGTTGCTGCATAATATTTATGTGTATATATATTTTTTTTTTTGTTTGATTATTTCGATAAGCTTTGCTTGCTGAGAATATAATATATTCTCCGTGTAGCTATTCATAAATACCTTTTCAAAAGTAAACAACTAATGACGAACAATAGAATTGTCAAGGAATGTCTTCACCATATTCTCCTCAGACATCTGTTTGAATGATCTGAATAATCTGCACTTTTATTATTAATATTCCATATTTTACGTAAAAAAATGCTTCCATTCCCAACATTAAGATCTTAAATTGTATCGACCAAAAAAACACTTGCAGTAAGCCCAAGAAATATGTCTATGATCAGTTGATCAAATATTGATACATATTGCAGTCATACGATAATTGAACAATCAAACAGTGGAAAATGCAAATTACACATCTTATCGGTGGAAATTTTTTCATTCACATTTCAAAAAACTAGGCGATTTGTAGTTTTAAAATAATGGTTGAAGTGAAGTAAATATAAATAAATATTAGTATTCTTCTTACAATTTGACTTACTTTAAGATATATCTTTTCAAGATCTATCTTGAAGTTAAAGCTCGAGTTTTCTGTTTTTTGTTGACTAATAGTAGATAATTTAAAAACTTAAATCATTAAGCTTGAGATCTTAATACTGAATCTTTTCCTGAAAACGCTCATTTTAAGTTCATTCCTAATTAATAAATAAACGACTGAAGCTTTCTCTTCCACCTGCTTCATCTGATAAATACGGCTACACACAGGGATATATTAGCTGTTTGCAGACGAAGTGAAGACGTCAGTGAATATTTGCAGAGTTGCAGGTGTTAAGCATCAACAAAGAGCAGAGAGACAAAAATAAGTGAATCATCGCCCATAAATATCAACTATTTGATATATAACGATCAACAAAACTGGTTTTATTTTCGGTCTTTTCGGTTACCGCAATTTTCTCATCTTCCCGATTCCCAATTGTAAACGAGTTACAGTTCAAAGCTCAGCATTCAGGTGAATCCGAACCGTAAGCGCGCTGAAGTTCATTAACGGTCATTAACGAGTCGAGCTCGAGAGCATTACGAATCGCATCCATTTCACAAGTTAACCAATTGAAAGATGTTGACAAATGCGGACACTCTTACACTGCTCACTCGTATACCCGTATTCGTATTCCCGGATAAAAATAAATGTCAGGCAGACCCGAAACCACTCGCACTGTGAGCGGGAAATTGAAAGGCGTATCAAACTTATTAAGGTTGACTCGATGCACAGATCGAAATGGAAACTTATATATTCGAAATCGTTGATTTGACGTATGTACGTATGTGCAATAATTGAATGCCAATCAAAATGTCTTGTATACCCTTAATATGTTCAGGCAGGGTATGCTGTTTTCGAAGTATGAAACTGGATTACATTTTTATTACACTGCAATCTTTTATTTCAATTCTTGTTTGTCGTACACCCAACAGGAGTTAGTCAATATTTAGAGTTTTCGACAATCGATTTCCAAATTCAGTTTTATTTGAAAAATGTTTAAGTAGGGTATTCAAATTTTAATATCGAGAGAAAACAGTAAATAGTTGGACTTTTATTTAAGATAATCTCTGAAGTCTTGAAACTCCTTTAATTTTATGTATGTACATGTTGTATATCAAATATAATTAGTGCCTTAAGACGTTCAGGGTATCTGTTAGTCGATCATTTCTATTGCAACAGCTTCAGCTTTTGAAATAAAAAGAAATGTAGCCACATTTGTAGTCACTGCAGATTTGTGCTCGTAGCGTTTACACAGTTGAACGTACATCGCATTCCAAGCAGTTTTGATTATATAATATGGCGATGACCATAAAACATAGTCGACTAAGAGATACCCTGTTTCAAAGTATCCAAATACATCAATAAGGAAAAATAAATTTTTAAATCATTAAATAGAACAAATAGTGTATAAAAGCATTACTTTATTTTCTACTAAGAACTTTAATATCAATACTGTGGCTCCATTTTTTATCTCTAGCGATGATCAGAGTCAAATGCAGAGAACAGAGTATTTCTAAGCACGCGTCTAATTGCATTGTTCATTATTTAATTGAGGCTTGTCCGATTTCAAAGCGAAATAATTGTTCTACTGACGTTTTCCCTTCGAAATTTTTTCATATTTCGCATTTACAATGACAGAGAAGAAAGGAAAAGTTTAAAAACAAAACAATCATAAACGAGTTAGAACATGAAAGTCAAGTACAACTGACTGCGCAATACTCTGTTGCGATTATTGCAATGGAGCTATTGAAATGAGATAACTCGGAACTTAAGACAGGTCTATATTCAACCTTCTGTGATCTTAAAAGCTGTAGGTTTTAGGCCCTCAAGTGCAGACAACTCGACAAACCAATATACTCCATTTACTTTGGCGTACAATGTATGAAACTGACAACAGAAATAAACAACAGCAGCAACAAAACGCAAAATATGCACACATAACAAAAAGTCACTCAACCAAAACACGCGATGCTGTGGAAAGCAAAGCAACAAAATATTCAGATAAACATTGGCATACAATAATATTAAATTATTTTCAATTATATACAAAATAACTGTAACTAATTCTATATAATATAAATTTATATAATGATATGTTAGTTAGTTCACATTGAAATTACTACTGTTATTGCTTGTTAATTTTGCTTTAGTTTCGTAGATAAATTGCATCGTTCAATTTCAAGGAATATCGACTCTGACATTCATTTAAATATATATTTTTAAATAAATGATATTAGATCTGATTGGAAAATTTGTTGTTGTATTGTTTAATATTTTAAATTTCTTAAATATTTACTTCATTCAAAATAATAAATATTTTGTATTTGCAATTTTTCATCGGTTATTTTCTTTAAGGGGTATCTTATAACTGTCCTTCACGATTTACTCACTCTTGTTTAATATTTATTCAGCTTTTTATCAAACAAGTATTATAAAATGTGAATGGCACTTGTAAAAAAAATTATCTAAGTTTCCACACTGGAAAATTCCCCACATCTTTGCAATAAACTAAAATCGAGAAACATGTGCTTGCGTAGAAATATATACATATATAGATAGCATATATATATATATATATGTGTATACATGTATATATGTGTATATATATTATATACTACTATAGTTTAGCCTCTGTAGCTCAAAATGAAGTAAGACTTTCAAGTTGTAGATTATTCGAAAATGCAAATTTGATTTGGTTTTTATAGAGCTTTTTCTATAGTAAAGAAAACTATTTAAATAGTGATTATGAATATTCATGTATTCAAAAATATGTATCTATATTCGATCAGTACCTAAATAATAATTGAAATCAATATTTGATAATCATACTGTAAATTTGCAGTGCATATACATACATTCATCTTCATCTACACTCTTTGATTACTCCTCCTTCTAATAATTTTGTTCCTATATTCACATTTATTTATTGTCATTTGTAATAATCGAAATATGATTCCAAGAATACCCCATGACATTCTCGAAATAGAGCAATAAAGCGACATTACTTTGTAGACAATCTGCCAAAATGTGAGAAATCCATATACCGAACCACAACTTGAAAATATTTGAGAAGTCCATTACAGTCAACTCACTAATTGGTTAGATCAATAAAAATGCGAGCGCGTGTGTTGATTTTTCCTAACGACAAATAAACGATCAACGATTTTGAACTAATTACTCTAAAATCTGGAATAAGTAAATTGGGATTTGGTTGCTAATGAAAATTCAGTGAGACAATATTGATTGATCTAAAACATTTGTTGGCTTACAAAATAACGTTATGTCGAAATCCTTGTGCATATAAC